GCGGGGTGTCAGGCAGAAGTCCATCTCCATAGTGACCACTGGACCCTCCCAGAGGTTTCCTCCTGGCACAGGATTCCTGAGGCTCTGCCCATGTCTCCCCATGCTCACCCTCAGGCCTCTCTGGGGTAGTAGGTACCTATGACCCTCCAACTGGATGGAAAGCTGAAACAGTCCAAAAGGGGGAGCTGTGGGACCCAGGAGGTCCAGTCATGCTCTGAGCTGGCTCACTTCCCCAAAGGCAAGGTCCTTTATTGAAAAGGAAACTGAGGGATGAGGAGGGCAGGGCAGGCTGGGATTCCAGCTCCTGTGGTCAGGACAACGGACAGGGGGGCTATGGATGGGAACTTCCTCTGGGGCTGTGGGGCCTCAGAAACAGTTTGGTGGCCTGCAGAGAGGGGGCTGGGGCAGGGTGGTTGGGGGTCCCAGGTCTTCCCAGTACTCACAGAGCAGATATTTTACAGAAGGTGAGACATCCAGTACGTCACTTGAAAATGGGTCGATCAAGGGCACACAGTTGTCTTCCCCTGGAAAGCCAAGGTATAAATGAAGGCATCCGAGCCACATGGACATGCCAGTCTTCAACAGGGTTCTAGAACCCTGTCAAACTCTCTCCCTTGGAATTCAGGGTCATGGCTCCAAATGGCATAAGAGTGATTGTCAGGGACAGGTCAAACCTGTGGGAGAGGGAGTTTTTTGGTTTTTTTTAATTTTATATGTGAGTGTATAGCCTGCATGTATGTGACTACACCCGTGTCATGCAATACCACAGAGGTCAGAAGAGGGCTTCAGATTCCCCTGGAACTGGAGTTATAAATGGTTTGTAGCCACCATGTGGGTGCTGGGAATCGAACCCGGGTCCTCTGCAAGAGCAGTCAGTGCTCTTGACCGCTGAGCCATCTCTCCAGCCCCGGGAGTAGGAGTTTAAAAATCTCACTCTCCAGAGATTCCTTCAGGAATGGCCAGGCCCCACAAAAAGGGATCTCATTCTGGAGCAGTCCAGAGTCATCTTATGTAGGTTCTTGGGTTCTTACATACAAGCATACCCACACAATGCATCCACATGTACATGCATATGAGAGAACACACACTTGTGCACACACACTAACACACACACCAAGAGTCTGCCAGGTAAATGAAGCAGCTTTGTCCTTTCTACCCCAGCTGAAAGGAAGCCACCATCAAGTGCACACTTAGACACATGCTCCCTCACAGCCAAATACACACACACACACACACACACACACACTTAGGGTACCCTCTCAGTCATCCATTTCATGTTCCCCCACACATTCACGGTAGCATGTGTCCACACATACAAACACTCACTCACATCCACTCTCATTCCCATATGGACTCACATGCTCATAGACACTCTACAGCTGGCCCAGTCCAGTGAGGAGGGACCTGGGCTTCCTTCCTCTTCCTGAGCCCCACAGGCTCCTCCTCCTGGAGAAGTCAGGGTCTCCCTGGCCCCTGGGTACAGTCCTGCAGAGGCAGCAGGAAGCTCCCTGACCTCCCAGAAGACACCTAGACCCAGAGCTAGTCTCCCCCTGTTCTTCTGACCTTTAGAAGACATCAAGACCCAGGGGCTGATGTCTCAAGTTATCCAGTGGCAAGGACCAGGGTCCACCTGACCTCCCACAATCTGAGCCACCCCCAGTTCTACCCAGACAGGTCAAAGAGGAAGGCACTTGGGGACCTTAAGAGACCACACAGTGCCAGCGCCTTTTTACTTCCTACCCCGAACCCTGATGGCAGTAGCCTGCCTCTAAGCAGGACCCCTTCCCAGCCCAGCATGATAGGGGAACCCCTGAGGGGCAGGGGCTCCTGAAGGACAGAGTTATTGGGATGGGGATAGACTAGGGAGGGATGATTACAGAGGGGAGGTGACCACCAGGGGTGAAGCTCACCTTCGCAGATGCGCCAGAGCCCGGAGTGGGAGGAGAGGTGCTCGGTGCCTCCGTGGTGGCTGTGATCTCCGCTGTCCACCACCTCCAGGATATACCAGTAGTCGCTGGCGACCGCGGTGGCCAGCAGCACGAAGCTGAGCAGCGCGCTCAGGGTGGAGGTCAGGAGCAGCGGGGCTAGCCGAGCCATGTCAAGGAGCCAAGCAGCAACAGCTGGAGGAGCGGGGAGGGCTTGCAGGCAGAGCTGGCTGGAGGGCGGGGGTGGGGGGGGGGTCGGCAGCCGGCTAGGGCGGGGCTAGGCAGAGGTGGGAGGGAGGTGAGCAGGGCAGGAGGCCCGGGGCACAGGAGGGTCGCTGCCCCAGGCTCTTCCCTGACACCCCCCCACCCCCCCACCCCGCTTTTCCACCTCCTGTTGCCAGCACCTGGGATCTATCCTCAGGTTCTCAGGGAAATCAATGCACCTTTTTCTACTGGCCGGGCTCCTCTATAAGGGAAGGAAGAAGGGAAATCTCAAAACCACAGGTACTGATGGAGTTGCAGCTTGCAGGGCTAGGTTCAAATCGTAACGTCCCCAGGAGCTGATCACAGGTCCTTGGGCATATTTTTAGATCGCTCTGAACTTACGGTTCCGCAGGAGCTAAAAGGGCAGGTGCCTACACACCCTGCAGGTGCAGCCTCAGTTTCAGGAGAGGATCAGAGGTCAGCCTCCAGGCTGCCTCCAGGAGGGTGCACAACGCCCAGTAGCTTCCCACTGCACCCAGAGCTCCTGGGGGGGGCAGAGAAAAGTGCACAGAGACCCAGCTGGGCATGGGTAGGGGTGAGGTGACCCTTGGGTCCCTGTCTGTATGTGTGGTGCTACCCAAGGTCTCCCATGTGGCAGGTATTAGGGTTCTCTAAAGGAACAGAACTGACGGAATGAATATATACATATAGACAGGTGGTTATTAGATTGGCTTACACAATACAGTCCTCATAGTTCCCGCAATGGCTACCTCACACTGAGTAGTTGCTCAGTCCACAGGCTGTCTCAGCAGCCCCAGTCTGGCGCCGAAGATGCCTGGAGAGCTGCTGGCCTTCAGTCTAAGTTGGAAAACTGAAGAAATTGGTTCTGATGATGGGACCCAGAATGCCACAGTATCAAGACAGATGAACTCACCAGCCAGAGTGAAGGCAAGCTCCCAGCTGCCAGGTCCTTTTACATGACCGGCCAAGGTCTTCCCTCTTCCAATAATCTGATCAAGGAAGCCCCTCACGTTTTAGATTAGTCCAGATCCAATCAAGTTGAGAACAAAGATTAGCCAGCACAAGTCCGCCCCTCGTCAACTTGACACCCAATTGCATCTGCTTATATCATGGTGGATTTCCAAATTAAAATAACAAGGTTGCTTCTGCCCACATGATATAACTGTTCCACATACAACCAGAAACACATTATATATGTTAGGTGTTGGGGTCCCTTGAGGAATGCTTGGCCTTTTAGTGTCTCATAACAAATATGATACTATAGATTTACAATACTTTGCCACTCAGTTGATTTTATACCACATGATAAATTGAGGAAAGAGATGGGTGTGGTGGCATCTGCCTTTAATCCCAACACTTGGGAGGCAGAAGCAGGTGGGTCTCTGTGAGTTCCAAGCTAGGGAGGGCTATGTAGTGAAATTCTGTCTCAAAAAGAAATTAAGAAAAGAACGAAATAGAGGAAAGAAAATATATGTGTCTGTGCACAAACATACAATATATGGTATCAAGAAGGTGCCATAAGACTTGTTCTGGCTAACTTTTCTTCTCAACTTGATTGGATCTGGAATCATCTAAAATGGGACGGGCTTCCTTGATCAGATATGCCATAAGAAGGTGCTGCCCACATTTAGGGTGTGTTTTCCAGGCTTAAAATGATATGATCAAGAAAGCCCCTCCCAAGCTGTGTGTGGTGGCACACACCTTTAATCCCAGCACGTGGGAGGTTGGATCTCTGTGAGGTTGAGGCCAGACTGTTCATAGCCAGTTTAGCTGGGGATATAGGGAGGCCCTGTCTCAAAAATAAAAACAAGAAAGCCCCTCCCATTTTAGTTGATTCCAGATTCAATCAACTTGACAAACAGGATTAGCCAGCATTAGACAAGTGCTCCACACTGAGCCACATCCCAGCCCTGGGGTCCCAGTCTTTTAAATGTTTCATTTATTATTTTTATTTTATGTGTATAAGTATATTGCCTGCAGGCATGTAAGTGCACCCGTGTCATGCAGTGCCCTAGAGGTCAGAAGAGGGCATCAGATTCTCTGGAACTGCAGTTGTGGACAGTTGTTAGCTTCAGGCTGGGAATTGAAGCTGGGTCCTCTGCAAGAGCAGCCAGTGCTCTTAACCTGTGAGCCATCCCTCCAGCACCTTGGTCTGGGTCTTTAAAATTTTTTTTTTATTTACAGCCAGGCATGGTGGCACAGGCCTTTAGTCCCAGCACTTGGGAGGCAGAAGCAGGTGGTTCTCTATAAGTTTGAGGCCAGCTGAGGCTACAGGGAGACCCTGTCTCAAAAAGCCCCAGCTGGCCTGGCACTCACTATGTAGACCAGGCTGGCCTTGAACTCACAGAGATCCTCCTGCCTCTGCCTCCCAAGTGCTGGGACTACAGGCATGTGCCACCATGCCCAGCTTTATTTATACATTCTTAAATATATTTTTTTATTTTTTGGAATTTTTGAGACAGGATCTCCCTGTAGCCCCAGCTGGCCTGGAACTAGCTATGTAGACCAGGCTGGCCGAGAACTCACAGAGATCTACCTGCTTCTGCCTCCCAAGTGCTGGGATTAAAGGCATGGGCCACCAAGCATAGCATATTTTATTATTTTTAAATTTTTATGTGTTTGAGTGTTTTGCCTACATGTATGTAAGTGCATCATGTGCATGCAATCCCCATAGAGACCAAAAGAGGATCCAGTTCTGGGATCCTGGAACTAGAGTTAGAGGGTTGTTAGCTGCCATGTGGGTTCTGGGAATTGACCCAGGACCTCTGGGAGAACAGCAAGTGTTCTAAACTGCTGAGCCATCTCTCCAGTCCCTGATTTATTTTTATTTTATGTATGAGTATTTTGCCTGCAGGTATGGAAGTACAGCACATGCATGCAATGCCTGTGGAGGCCAGAAGAGGGCTGCGGATCTCCTGGAACTGGAGTTATAACGGCTGTCAGCCACCATGTGAGTGCTGGGAACCAAATAATCAGGGACTCTGGAAGAGCAACCAGTACTCTAACCACAGAACCATCTCCCCAGCCCCTGAGGTCCTGTTCTTAATCAGTCCTGAGGACCAATGGGATGAGATCAGTGCAGTGGGGCTGGGATGGAGTTGCAGAGATAAAGCATTGCTTCTGTGTAATTCACTTACAGGGCACACATTACAGACAGGTTCAGATGCTAGTGGTTTGGGAGGTAGGGGAGCCACAGTGGGCTCTTCCCAGGAGCAAACCCCATAAGGAATTCATGTATGGACCGAAGCCAGAGGGTTTGGTCTACACTTTGGAGGATGGGAGGGATTCCTGAGTCACTGCCCCTGGGCTAGACAGTCTCCAGAGAAGGGTCAGAACTTTGAGGTTGACATTTTCTCTTTTTTTTTTTTGGTCTTTTTGAGACAGGGTCTCCCTGTAGCCCGAGCTGTCCTGGAACTCACTATATAGACCAGGCTGGCCTTGAACTCACAGAGATCTGCCTGCCTCTGCCTCCCAAGTGCTGGGACTAAAGGTGTGTGCCACCACGCCTGGCATGAGGTTGACATTTTCATTAATAGTGGTTCTTCTTTAAAACAGGCACTCCATCTCTTAGGTCAACAAAGCTCTCATTTTGGAGTATCTGTCCAAGCATACATGTGCATGGA